TAATTTGAATTCATTGTTGTTTTTTTCAAAGTTCAAGATTAAAACTTGAACTTTCAGTTTCAAATTTTATTTTTTCAATCAATTTATTCTTCTTTTTTTTAAGTTATTTTTTGGCCATTTTTGCCTTTATAGGACAGTGAAAGGAAGATAGAGGTGGGATGACATGCAACAAAGGGCCGTGGATTGGACTCGACCCCGTGTCCGCTGCGGTTAGGACTGAACTCACGTGGTGAGCACACTACCAGGTGAGCCACCAAGGCTCTGAGGCACTGAGATTTTCAATTACAAAACTTCTGGCCCTGATTTGGCTCCATAGACAGAGAGCAGTGATGTGAATTCCCACTTCTGTCCACTACGCATCAAATGTATGGAATGCCATCTTGCCAATATTAAATAGATACATACATACATACCTAAATATATACAGTTGTGAAATGAATTCTGAAATAAATAAATGAGGTAATAAATGTATGGAGTGCCATAAAAAAGAAAAAATCTGTAAAAGATTTAAGAAGAAAATAAATGTGGAAATATAAAGAAAATAGATAAAACAATAAAAATGCTTCTACCTACTGCTTTTGCTTTTTTTTTGTATTGCTTTTGCTTTTTCTATTTAAAGGAGAGGGGTCTGCTGGGAGGCTGCAATACTTTGCAGTTATCCACTTCATGTTAAACCATACAGCTGTGCCTCCCAGTCCACTGTGAAAGGGGTTTAAGCATGGCAGCCATGTTAACTAGCTGTAGCTGCGGTGTTGGACCGCTGAATAAGTTTTAAAAACATACATTTACCAACGGGAGCATCTCACTCCGAGGCTCTGGCACTAACAGGTGCACCAACCCGCTAGGCCAGCCTGCTGAATACGTTTCGAAAAACCCACATTTACCAACTAGAGCATCTCACCCCGAGGCTTCAGCACTAACAGGAGCAACACAAACTTCAATGTAGTGTGCTCAAGGAGTCGGGCTGGTGACACCAACAGACTGGATAAATTGATCAGTAAGTCTGACTCTGTAATTAGCTGCAAACCTTTGTAGTGGGGGTGGAGAGGAGGACACTGAACAAACTGCTATCAATTCAGGCTAATCCTGAACACCCTCTCTACCACCTTCTGGATAGGCACTGCTTTTTCTAACAGAGTGGGTTCAGCCCCGCTGGACCGACACGGGAAATCTCTCCTACCCACAGCAATAAACTTTGTACAACTCTTCACAACTCCCCACCTCTGTCAGTTTTACAGTTTCTGGTTCAACCAAACTCTCTGTTTGTTCTGTTTACACAACTTTGAACATTATCTACTGTATACAGAGACATTTTATTTTGTTATTTTATTCGGTATGTCAGTATGGAAGTCCATTGCATTCACCAAAGAAAAAGAAATACACCCTTTCTCATAATGGCGTCTGTATGCCATAATTATGTTTCATATATAATAATCACATTGAAATGATAAGATACTTATAATAAGACTATCAGAATACGCACACATGGTTGGTAGGAAGGAGCATGACACCGCCGGCGATCAGCCAACCTGTTGTATCTGGTAGATGTACTGAGGAGCACCAGTCCAACGACACCGGCGAATGAGAGCCTGGACAGACGGAACACTGACCTCTCTCTCCAACTCAGGAAACAAGGGTGGCTGGTAACCATAAGCATAGTGAAAGGGGGAGAGACCAGTAGCAGACAAAAAGGAATGTATTGTGAGCATACTCAGTCCAGGTGTTTGCTCCAGAGGTGAGGCTAACTGTGGCACTGAGGAGAGAGCAGAAAGCTTTCCAAAACTGGGAGGTGAACTGGGGTCCTTGGACAACATTCCAAGGAAATCCATGGATGCGGAAAACATGGGACAATGTAGTCTCTGCTGTCTCTTGGGCAATGGAATAAAGTGGACGATTTAGAAGAATCGGTCTACCATGGTGAGAATGGTGGCATTACCTGCTGATAGCAGAAGGCCTATGACCAACTGGAACTGGGAGCAGCAATCCAGGAGGGGGGCTTCAAGACGTCTTGCTCCGAGCACAAACAGAACAGGCAGACACATACTCTCCAACCTCTTTATCCACAGAAGGCCACCAGAAGCGTTGCCTTATGACGAACAGAGTCCAGTGTGTTCCTGGGTGGCAGGAAAAGAGGAAAGTGTGCGCCCAATGGATGACCTGGGAATGGTGAGACAGGAGAACAAGCAACCAGTTCGGAGGGTATCCGTCCAGAACTTGTGAGTTAGTATTAGCCTGTCTAACCCTTTCCTCAATGCCCCATTGGTGGTAGGTCTAGGGGCTGAGTTAGAGTCAAAGAGGTGGGACAGAGCATCAGGTTTGGCATTTTTATAACCAGGACAGTGGGGTAGGATCCAATGGTGAGGTGACTACAACAGGTGAGCTGGAAGCAGGAGCAGGCGTAGTTGTTGAAATGGAGGCTCCAAGGGTGTCTAGACGGCCATCAGTTGTTGCATTTGTTCACTAAGGAAACACACCTGGGTGCTGACCAGGTTGACTGGTTGACTGCCTCTCAATCATCCCTGATTCCGATGCAGACTGAGGTAAGTTGTTCCTCATGCTGTTGGATGTGTCGGCCTGGAGCCCTAATGGCAGTTTGCAGAGAATAAGAGTCGGCTGAGTCCATGGTGTGGCCAGTTCGTAATGTAACACTGGGGGACCACAAGTGATTGGACTCAACAGCACGACTCAGACACAGGCAGTTTTAAAGAGCAAACAGTTTAGAAGTTCAGTTCAGATCAGAAGAATAAATCGAAAAGGGTAAGGCAAAATCTTAGTCAAGGAGGCAAGGAAGAAGCCGACAACTACTAATACTGGGAAACTAAGGCTGGAACATGTACAGTAAGCCTGGGGAGATAAAGAACTGGCACAGAGGGAGAAGAACACAGACACTAAATACATTCTGAAGGGGAAGACAATGAGACACAGGTGAAACCACTAAGGGCAGGGCAGACAATCACAACAGCAGGAAAGGGGCAGGAAGTAAGGGATCTGAAACGAGAAGACGTGAGAAACACCAAAATAAAACACGAAATAATGAAATGTGACACAAGGAAAACATAACCTTAAGAGAGGGAGTGGGGCATGACAGTACAACTTCTCTAAACACATGCTGCCCAGAGGAAAAGAAAATCAGAAAAAAAATCTCAAAAGTGTTTTATTTATCCCTCCAAGACAACTATGAGATCTGAGAGAAATCGAAAATGATATTATAGCTTATTTCTCCTTTCTCTAAATTTTTTCTCCAGGAGAAAATGACTCACAAAATAAATAAATAAATAAATAGTTTCCATTGGGCACAATGCTTTTACTGTATGTAAGAAGAGTCTGGGTTAGTTCAAAAAGACATACACAAATATTGGATTGTTGAACCTGGTGAACATTTGCACATTTTGTCCAGTTTAATTGTGGTTTAATTTTCATTGTGATATGTTTGGAAGAGATTGACTACTAAAGTTTTGAGAAGATATACACTTTATCTGTCAAGAATAAATCACATTGTCACAATCATTTCATGGAAAGAGGTAAATATATTTTATTCCAACTTTATGAGCAACAGTATACATATATATTTATATATTATCACTACTATGACTGACAGTAACATACTTGGCTCACACACAGACACACACACACACCAATTATGTTCAAAAGTCATTTAGGTGTTGAATAAAAAGCTTCAATATCAGGTTTTTGTCATAGTCCTTATGTGAATTCTAATATTTCACTCCTTGTGTCTGAGACTAAACCATACATTTTTTTGTTTGTTGCAGAGATAACACCTACACCATTTAGCAACAGACATGTGTTACTAGTTTTTTATTAAATTTTGAATGCACCAGCTTGAAAGATACAGATATAAATGTCAAAAATGTTACGACCATCCCCAGTCTCCCCTATATCTAGATTCCACCGCTGTCTTTAACCCTGTCTGTAACCCTGATTTTTTGGTTTGTAGCATTCTCCAGGCTCTTTGGGCTGTGGGCAACATGCGGGCTATGATTTTCTTTTAGCTGTCTTCTATAATCACCACCAACAGCTGACACAACTTCACTCTGCAAACCTGTCCCTGTAAACAGGTGGGAACTAAAGGGGTTTGTAAATAAGCACCTTAAATGTTACACCCTACAAAATACATGTACTGTATAAAAAATATAAAATAATAAAGTGCTGCAACTGATAGTGGGAACAATTATATAATAGACTTAATTAAGTAATATGAATTAATAATACAATAATAGTAATAAAATAAAATAATAATATAATTCAAATAATATGAACACTTAAAGGTCACATACAGTATAAAGGTGTCTTTTTTGAATATAAAGCAGGTCTAGGTTCTATATTAATACTGTGAAAGTATCAAAGCGCTCAGTCCACAGAAAAATACACACAGCCTGTATTCAGAAATTGACCCTTAAAACGAGCCCTCAGGACTTCTGTAACTTTGTGATGTCACAACAAAGCAGTCACTGCTTGGCTCACCGAGCTGTTGTTATTAGAGCTCCAGAGTGAAGTGTGAGAGAGGAGATGTAAAACTGCATCAGGATGGTTTTTGTTCTTAAAACCACATATATATCTTCTTATTGATCAACACTTCAAATATAAAATGGGATAAGAGTAAAATATGGGACCTCTAATACACAACAGCCATTCATATGGTAAATTTATAATTAAATTAACACTAACCAAGATTATCTGAACATGTTGTGTGAACATGCTGAGTCTGAATATCAGGCCCTAATGCTGTCATGTACAATTATCATAAAATTGAGTTTTGTTTTTGCAGTAATTTGATGACTTCTGTTCCAGAGGAATGAAATAGATTCATACAAAACATGAGATAACATGGTAACATAATACAGATTAGAAGTTCTCTAGTCTACTACTGTAACTATAGTTGTGTAAAATAGCTGACGTAGCATTCAGTGTAACTTTAAGTTATTACGGTTGTCTCGGCCTCTACCTGCTGGATAACTTCGGTACCACATTTACACACGGCGCCATATTAGATAGACATTATATAGCTGCGGACGAAGTCAAGGAAGGGGAGCAGTTTCACAGATGACACGGGTGCTCGGGCTGCAGTAGTCTGTTTACACGACACTCAGGGTAACTGATATATGGTTGACAACAAGTAAGTGAAGCAAACATCTCGGGCAGCGTCGTCCGAGGCGTTCTGTTTTCGTCGTCGTTTAGCTAACTCGCCGGTAGACATGACTTCCTTGACTCAGCGGAGTTCGGGCCTCGTGCAGAGGCGGACCGAAGCCTCGCGCAACGCCGCTGACAAAGACCGTCCGTCCTGCGAGGAGGACCACGAGCCCCGGCGGGGAGACGAGCAGGAAGACGACGACACCGGAGACTCCAAAGAAACACGTCTGACCCTGATGGAAGAGGTGCTGTTGTTAGGACTGAAAGACAGAGAGGTAATGTTAGGTAATCCCGTATAATATATATATATATATATATATATTAAGGTATATCTTAACGTTAGACGATGGGACGTTACCAAAGCTAATGTTAGCTTTATTTTCCTAACCGACATAGCTTCAGTTAACGTTAGCATCCCTGTTTGCTATGATGCTAGCTGTAACTAACAACAACAATGGGCCTCATTGGACTGTTAAACATCTTCAGGAAGAAATTCGTTAATGTTGAGAAGCGAATCTTAACATTAACAGCCATGGTCGGTTAATACGGTGTTGTGCTGTGACAGACGGTGTTTAAACTGTGTTTACACTGTTGAGTCGGATATAGAGAAAACGATTTATATAGAAGAGTGTAATGCAAACACATGATTAATAATCTGTAAGTATCCAGGAGTGTTGAATAATTGGGAACCTATTAATTTGCTGCCTTGGGGTCATTCTCTAATGAGACCTGATCACTGATTAAACCACTGACAGAGAGGTACACTGCCTGTTAAACAGTACTGGCACCCTCTGTAACTTTACACTGTTTACTGTGTTGTTGTTTTTTAATCTCTATGGAGGTAATTAGCCTGTAGTTATGATTTGTTGACATCCATCCAAAAGATAAATCTGTTTCAAGCCCAAGTGAAAACCAATATTGACATATTAATCTAAATAAAGTCAAATATAAAACACATTTACATCAGACAGGTGCACCTAGTTATTTATACAAGTTTTATTATCATTTGAAAGGAGAAACCAAGGTGTGACAATTGATTTTAAATGATGTGCTTGTGTGTCTGTTTCAACAGTTGTCAAAAAAACATACACCAAGACCAAGACAAATGAACATACATAGATCGATTGTTATAACTTTTGAAATGTCAAAAATAATCCTTAAATTCTATATTTAACTACTCTAGAGATAAGACCTGGGGTTGACTGTTGCCATGTACAACCTGTTAGTTTGCCAGTATCAAGGATGAGGCTCCACATGTTAAGTTTTACAGCTTTTTAAGCCGTTTATGAATGACCATGACTTTTATATTCACTCAATCATCAGACATTGAAAGGAACACACATATAAAGGTGATGCTGTCATAATATACTGCCACCTTTAGAGATTTGATGCCACATTTTTCATGCCAAAACATGTTGCTATAAATTCTTCTGAGGGTGCTGTAAACAGGTGTTGTTTAATATTGTTTAATATTGCATGTTTACTCTGGCCAGGTTGGCTATTAGGAACTATTCTGTTGTAATTCCATAGTAACTTTTTGGTAAACCCTTTCCATGATGCAGGGCTACACCTCGTTCTGGAATGACTGCATTTCATCAGGGTTGCGAGGGTGCATGCTGATTGAACTGGCCCTGAGAGGACGCCTTCAGCTGGAGGCTTGTGGCATGAGGAGGAAAGGTCTGCTGGCCAGGAAGGTGGGACATGTGTTTCTGCTTTTACTACATAAATTGTTCAGATAAGTTATTTTATTTTCATCACCCTGCTGGTGCTCTTTTCTGTCACCACCTTAATTGGGTGGGTCACTAGCATGGGGCTTCAACCCTTTATAGTTACTATCAAAAAGACCTCTACACACCTTAACCTGTAACTCCTCCATATTCCTTCATCACTAAAGTGAAGTGGAGGGTGAAGGGAGCGAGGGAATTTGCTTTGGGGCAAAGTCATTTTCCATTTTTTTTCAGAACACATAAACAGACGATTGATCAACATGTCTTGTACTTTAATCAAGCCAAAAAAATTGCCCTGCGGCTTCTCCACTGTGACGATTTCTACTGAATATCTTTAGGTTTTGTACTGTTGGTTGAACAAAACATGTAAAGATGTCAGCCTGGGCTTCTGGGAAACTGATGTTTTCTCATTTCTTGTTTTATAGACCAAACAATTTATCTCTTCTGTTCTATAAAATGATAATTGACTTCATGGTCTGTAGTGTAGGGATTGGTATCGTTAAGATTTTAATGGTACTACTACTTTTACCGATACTGCAAATCGATTTCTGTATTTAAACTGTACTGTTATCGCTACTTTTTGGTATTTTGTAAGAGAAAAAAAAATGAACATTGCTTTATTTTACCAATTAACATTCTTAAGGAATAAACTTAAGCATTGTTTTGGGCAAATCACTATGGTAGACTGACTTTTGACTGTGCAATAGTTCACCAGCGGCCCCCACATCACTACACACACACACACACACACACACACACACACACACACACACACACACACACATACACATACACACAGAGCAAACAGCATGGCAGAGGCTGTGCCAGATACAGAACCAGGTGACGTAACGATAACTCAAGATCACTGGAGTTAAGGACAACTAGTGCAATAATCAGTAAAAGGCCAATAAGAACTTTATCAAAACACCTGTTCAACAAGCAACAAATAGAAAAGAGATAGAGAGATCATCTATTTCCTCCGCCAACTCTCTGTGTCTTTTATACAACAACATCTTGCTGGTTAATTAATTGCGAACTGTTAGGAAATGCTACAACGAAAGCTGTCTGTATGTGAGTCTAACTGATTATCTTAGTGTACCACAAATCTTAAAACGTGGTAGATTGTTGCAAACTGAGCAACTGGCTGAGACAAACCAGAACAGTCAATTCAAATCCTGTTCTGAATTTATTCTTTTTAAAAAGAAACAGTAATAGTCTCAACTGGATCAATATAAGTATGAATAAGATAAAGGTAAGATCAGCTGGTTAATGTCTGACTTTGGGAGGATGAGCACATCACAGTTCAAATCTCTTCACTCTAAGTCTTGTTTAACCAGTGTTATTTTGTGATTATAATTTTTTGTGGTGCACAGTGAGCTCAGTCACAAACGTGAAGGATTACTTCAAGTGTTGTCTGTTCATTAGTTGACAAAGCTTTTTGATATCTTTTGTCCTTGTAGCTGATAAATACTCTCATAATGTCATCTGCTGCTGCCTGAGAATTTACACTGAATAAGTGTTTGAGAAAATGTGTAGGCCTGAATCTGGGATTATTGATGCCAGAGTGTCATTTACATTTTCTGGAGGAAAATTAAATGTTTAAAATAGTCGACAGATTAATCGTTAGAAAAATAGTCGTTAGTGGCGGCCCTACACACCAAAAATACCTAGAGCAATGACAGATGAACTTGTGTTTACGCCCTAACATGCTAAAGACTTCACCACTTTGAACATTTAGTTCTCTCCATTGTCACCAAAGCCCCTTTTCCAATGGTCAAAACCCGCTAAGACCTGCTAACATTGGGCTTTTGTCTGCAATGGAAAAGGGTTCAATCGGTTTTCACACCCGGGTCAAATGACTTCAGTAGAAGTATCGGCTCCAGCTCCGATACGCTCCGATCGGCATTCATGTAAACACAACACCTGGGTGAACCCACTGCTTTTCACCCCTTTTCTGCTGTAACATCTTTCAGAACACAGACACTGTTAACACACCTGTCATCTTCCCAGCACGGTGCTGTTAAACCGGGGGTGACAGAGTAAACGCAGCCCCAAAAAAGTTTTTAAAACATACATTAACTGATGGGAAGCTCCAACATGTTTACAGGAGCACCAACCCGGAGATGAGATGTGACAGATCCGTTTTATCATTTTGCATGGTGGCCAGCAGCTCACTCCCCCCCCCCCCCCCCCGTGTCTGTGTGTGCGCTCTGCTCCCTGCATTTGTGTGTTTCCTCTGTAAGAACAGAAAGGCAAACTCAAATGTAAGTGGAATAGGGGTCATTTGGCTCTTAATAGCGGGTTTACCTGCGTTTGAAAAACCTGCTTATACTTGCTAATTTTGGTGGAAAAAGGGTATGAGAGCAGAGTCTGTGTGTGTGCTGCACAGTGCTCCAGTATGAGACACAGTGCTGCCCCCGCCCCTCAGAGAGGTCAGAGCGAGAGATGCATATGAACTTCTGCGTTGGAAAAGCGAAAATGCATCAATGCATCACGAAGTCTAAATCAGAAACGTGTAGGATAAAATGTGCGTGAAAACCTTTATGTTGCAATAACAAACAGGAAATGTCTTAATTTCTCTTCTTTTAATTTCCCCAGAACTGAGAGCAGAACCGATAACGTCGGAGCTCATCGATACTACGGTCTTTACAAATTTAGCCCCGGGGCCCATTTAATACAGGGTTTCGGTACCCATCCCTTCTGATGTGATGCTGTATCTCAGTCAGTGATGTGAGCAGGGCCTTGATACATTATTTTCAGCAGCTGTTGTCTGATAACCACACATTGTAACTACCCATCGTCATTCTGATGAACTCCGCAGGTCATTTGTAAGTCAGATGCTCCAACAGGTGACGTGCTGCTAGACGAAGCCCTGAAACACATCAAAGACACCCAGCCGCCAGAGACGGTGCAGAGCTGGATCGAACTGCTCAGTGGTGAGTTCATCTGCTTTATCGGCTCATAGCCTCGATCTGGTGGTAACCCTGTGAGGAGATTTATAACAGAACAGATCCACACTGCTTCCTTATGCTTGTACCCAGCTTAACTTTGAGCTTTACATCAAATGTGAATGTGTGAAAATGCAGACTGATTGTGTATGTCTGCAGTCATAGCATGGATAGACTGTGAGTTGTATTTGTGAGAATTGTGCGATTAAAAGTATGAAGGTTTGTTTTGAATCTCATACACAAACCGTTAAACAGCAGCTGATGTGTCAATGATTTTTGATTATGCTGACACATCCTGCTTTAGAATGGTAATCTGTGTCAGTATGCCATTGGACTTTAAGACCAAATGATACAGGAACTAAAAAACCCTTCTGTTCGCATTTCCACTGAATCAGAAGAAACATAAAGATTAGTCACATTAGCCAGATAAAGGGTTAAAAACATCAGCTTTGTTTGAGATGCAGTAAATAAACAGGATTCATGCAGTCAGCTTGGACAGGAGACTGAAGGAAAAGCTGAAGATACTGTTTTCTGTAGGTTTCTACTTGTTTAACAGGTGTTTTGATAAATTTCTCTAACTGTTTTTTTTATTCACAAAGGTTATATTGTATGTACAGTAACAACCAGATCTGGAGTAATATGTTTCACCAGGGGTGGGTGATCTGATTTATATCTTGGATGATCTTAGATATTGAACTTTAAAAGTTCAGTCTCTGCTAATCAGCCTGTTATTAACTGTTAAACAGCTAACCTGCTAATTGCAGATGGAGACAGCAGTCCTTGTTCTGCTCTGCAGCCTCGTGGCTTTGGTGTAGCTCCACATGAACCAGTTCTCCATCTGTGCAGAACAAGAACCACTGTCACCAGCTGCAGTCCAAGACGGTGGAGTTACAGTCTGTCTATGGGACCAGAGACCTGCTGCAGGCAGGGAGACAAGAAGAGGGACGAGCCGGAGCAGAGACTGAATTTTCTAATGAAAACACATATATCACCTCATAAATTAATAAATAACAGCGTTGTCAAAATTAATACTCCATACGAACTAAGCAGAAAGTGCGATTGGTTGTGACACAGTTTGTAAACCGAAGACAAGATTATGGGTGAAGATAAGCAGCAGGCAGACAAACATCTGAAAGAAGAGTGAAAGTGGCGGAAACATACAAATCATAACTTTCTGTCAGGACTTTCAGAATAAATCAGTGCGCTAACAGGATGCAGGTCATGATTCATGATTCGTGGATTGTGATTCTACCCAAAGAGATTGTCATATGATATTTTTGCCAGATCATCCATCCCTACATTTCACTTCACCCATTGTCATGTCCTCCTCCGTGACCTCTGCCCTGCTGTCTGCTCTGTGTGGAGGAGCTATGTCCCACCTCAGTCAAACACCAACACAGAGCAGAGACAGACAGCGAGGAGAAGCTGCTGCACCGTGAACAATCTTACTGATCTCTCCAAGTACAGATAAAATGCTCCCTGCCCTTATGGATTTTGAACCAGCTTCTCTAGTAACTATAGGAAATAATATTTCACATTTACACACTCATATGTGAGTGAAAAGCTCTCACAGTAGAACCCTACTGGTACTACCCTGTTCTTTCTATTTCTATCTATATTAATGCAGATGAGCATGTCACCTGTTTGTGATGCACTAACTGTCTTATGTTCTATCGGTTTGTCTTTTAGGAGAGACATGGAACCCCCTGAAACTTCATTATCAGCTGAGGAACGTCCGTGAACGGCTGGCCAAAAACCTGGTGGAAAAAGGCGTCCTCACCACTGAGAAGCAGAACTTCCTGCTCTTTGACATGACTACACATCCTCTGACCAACAACAACATCAAGCAGCGTCTCATCAAGAAGGTCCAGGAGGCTGTACTGGACAAGTGGGTGAATGACCCTCATCGAATGGACAAGCGGCTGCTCGCGCTCATCTTCTTAGCCCATTCCTCCGACGTCCTGGAAAATGCCTTTGCCCCGCTGCTAGATGACCAATACGACCTGGCCATGAAGAGAGTGCGGCAGCTGCTGGAACTGGAGCCCGAGGGAGAGAGCATGAAAGCCAACGCTAATGAGCTGTTATGGGCTGTGGTGGCCGCCTTCACCAAATGAGGCTACCACAAAGAGGACACCAAGCAGTTATGGCATTCAAGTGGCATTGTACGTTGGGGTGGGAATCACAGTATTGACCCCCCAATCTGGTGACTTGACTGACTTACAGTTAACCCCTGCCTGGACTTTGGAATGGGCTGCCTCTTTCATTGCCCCACCCCCCCACCCCACCCCCACCCCCACCTCATCCTCCTTCCCTCCCAGATAACGGTCCTTGTTGATCCTCCATGCCCCCCCCCCTTCTGTCATTTGTGTGTTCACTTTTGCTAAAAAAAAAAAATTATAATAATATGGAACTTAGAATGAAGTGGTTGGTGATGATGTGGGTGGAGCTGAAATCAAGATATTGATTCATATCCTCTTTTTTTCTATTTGTTAAATCTTTTTATCTTTAACAGTTAGAGGTACAGCATGTATGGCACAGGTTACTCGAGGTACCATCCTGACACACCTCAGAATACAATAACCAATGTGATGTAGATGTGTACAGATGTGCAGACGTGTACATGTACAGGACAGTGATGCTGACAAGTCTTTACATGGTTATTCTACCAAATTTGAAGTGTAAGGATGTGATCTATTCGTTGACTAGAGGACAGATCCAAGTATGAGTCTAGACCTAGAACTACTCTGTTGATGCCTCTGAATCCATCCCATCCATCCATCACCTATACCTGCTCATCCAGGGACAACCCCCCCACCCACCCCCCCACCCACACACAGTTCATGTGTAAAACGGGACAAAAAGTCTAAACATGAATGGAAGCTATAATCAGGTCCAGGAAGATGGAGTTCTGACTTGTATTACTTTTATTATTGGTTACTTAGACTCATCTCCATTTGTTGTTTAAAATGAGTAGAACTGGTGAACATCATGAGACACACAAACATATACACTTGATAGTTATGATGGTGGAAAGAAAAATGAATGATACTAAATATACAATTACAGTATGAAACCCCTAGGAATCTAGCACTAGCATGAGACTCAAGGGCAAACTACTCTGCTCCTCCCCTCCCTCCCTCCCTCACGCTCCCTGCTCCGTTAGGCCCCGCCCAGTCCTCCACCTACATTCTGGTCACGTTTGCTGTTTCAGCTGATGCAGGAATCAGGACCTAGCCAGCCTGTGAGTCAGACACAGTGACATCTTCCAATGCTAGCTTTGGCATTCTCTGATTGGTTAGAAAGAAGAGGCTTGCTCAGAACACTTTAGGAGGGAATATCTCGGCGCTGCTGCCAGGCTGTTCAATGAGTCTGCAGCACCTCAACAAACTAACATAGTTTTTGGAGCAAATTTCAACTAAAAATATAATTTTTGAAGTTACATGCTATAGCTTTAATGAAACTTTCTGACATAATGAATTGAAAACAGGTCATACTGTCTCAAAAATCCTCTGACTTTTTATTCATAGTGAAACATTTTGCTGTAGGACCCAAGCTGGGATTGTATCACTTCTAGATACACTGTCTAAATGTGCTCATATAAACCAGGTTAGCCTGTAATATCTGTCTGATTTGCAGTAACATCAGCTGACACATTGTTAACTGACTCTGACAAGGGGAAAATGCATCTTTGTGTGCTTGGCTGTTGAGGATTAACCTGAAATATTTTAGCAGCGGGAACAAACTCAGGAAAGCAGAGCCAATCGATGCCAGCTACCTTTGTTAGCAAAATTCAAATAGACAAAGTTTTCACCTTCTCAAAATAAACCCACTATATCTACGGAACTTTGAAAGAATCCAAAAGTGTGATCAGAAGAATCAGAAGACGGGCTCACATTCCAGATGTTGATGTATATACTTGTGTATTTGTATCAGGCACAAATTCACACTGTCACTTTTCCAGAACCGTGGCTCAGCTGCACTGTCTTTCACTTGTTGGACATTGTGCTCAAACATTCAACAAAGCCTTGTCACAATGAACGTTGCTCTTAATTTCATATTGCCTCAATTTTTTGAATTTTATTTTCACATTTGTTCAACTGTTCTTTGCTTTAACACAGATTTTTGCTAACGAAGCTCATGGATCTTGTGAAAGACTTTGCTGAGTGGAGATCGCCTCCTTCGGGGTGCTGTATGTAGCAGAGAGCTGAGAGTAATTAGACAGAGACTGTGGGGGAAGAGGAGAGGTGGGCAACAGGTTTATGCGTCTGAGAATCACCTCGTATTGTGGATTGAATATGAGAGATTATATGTTATCTAAATAAAGGGACCTCTAATCTGTGTACTTTCTTTGACCCTAGAAAATAAACCAAGAGCTTGGAAGTGCCTCATCATACAACTGATTTTAATATTTATTTGAAACTCATGGCAACGCAACATTTTTGTCCCATGTGAAGCCTCGGGTTAGTTTATTGATGTATGAGGGCATAAATCACAGTCTGTGTGTTTCCTGTAGTTCACCAGTTGCAAATCAACCACTGCTCACCCTGGCACATGAGGTGATGAGTTTCCCGCAACTCCAGACTTTGTTTCAGTTTAGCTCTTTTATAACACGTCAAATCTCTATGGACATAAATTGATTTTTTTTTTTTTTTCAAACTGACCATTAATTTAATGATGGCTCTAAAACACAAGATAAGTGACTGCGTGTTCACCAGCTTCACTCTGACACAACCATTTAAATGGAGTTCATGTAATTGAGTGGTTCTCAACCTTTTGAGCCACATAATGTTACTTTGCGTTAGCCCACCTTCACAGATCTGATATCGGTCTCATCTTGAGCTGGCAGACTTTCCACTACATATTCAGACACTGTACAGTAGGTGGTTAACATTTAGCACCTGCCACTGTGCTGTGCCACGTTCAGTCTGCTGCTCCGGCTGGAGGAGACGACTTCTCCCGCCCAGATTCTCACACACTCATTTCACTCACTTGCTCAAATCTGTTGCATAAGGACATTATAACATTGGTGTGGGAGATTTAATAGAAAAGTCATATTCAAAAGTATTTATTATTTATTTATTTTGAAAAAAACATCCCGCTACCCCCAAAATAATCTCACGACCACCGGGTTGAGAACCACTGAATTAAGGGTGAGAGGAGTGAGTTTCAGTTTATGCTGTGTGTCTGGAGGGTCAAGCACCTGTTTTGGTCAGCTTCACTATGGACTCAATAACTAGCTCTGATCAACAAAATCTGCTCAGATTTGTTTGTGAATTTAATTACAAAATACAAAATTAAACCTAAATAACTTCACATGGAAGAATACACAGGTGAAGCCCATGAGATCTCAGTCACTCTCAGGGTCCTGGCTCTTATTATCTAATTACTGAGGATACAACAAATACAGGAATATATGATTACAAGTGATTTCCCTATTTTTTTTGTGAACAAATTTTATGGCATGTTGACAGAATGAATATCAGCAGGAGAAAATTTTTAAAGAAAAGAGCATGTATGCATATACATATATGCTTCTGAATTAAATAAACTTAGAACTTATTCATGGTATATTGTAGCCATCTATAAAATTAACAACTGTACAAATAAAGATAATATACAAGCATACTTGACATATACCTTAACTTGTAGCATAAATACAGGTTAATATATACCTCCATTGTCTTAATTCATATCCTTATGTTCGTATGTGCTAATCCTGTTCATATACACCCACGTGCACATGCCTGCACATACATATAAACATATACACAACTAAATGTCAACAATTAAGAATAATCACCCCTCATTTCCCTCCCTAGTGAGTGATCAACAAATCTGCAGTGTTTTCATGACAATGTGTGTGGTGGTGGTTTCCACCGTACAACCAGGATTTTCTTTGTAGCAGTTAGGCCATATCCTTTTTTTCATAGACAGACATGGGGACCTGGGAACGGTCACTTAGCAGACATAATAAGGGGCAACATGGACTTTCCTGAGAATTTTGAGAATTGAGAATTTTTGATAATGATTTAGTGACTTCTAACCAAAAGGACTGCACCTCAGGGTACTCCCTGAACCTTGTGGACAGAATTAACATAGAGGAGATGGAGCAGATTTAAACCGATGTCTGATTATAGGTGTTAAGTAGGTTATGTGCACAAATCTTAGAGGAATAGTTTGGTGGTTAGGATTTTTTGATGTGTATCTGATGTTCTTTCAGATAGTTTCCCAAGCTACTTCAGTAGAACTGTAGTCATTTTACCAGGTTGCTTGTAATGGGAATACATTGTAGATACAGTCCCACTGGTCCTGCTGATGTTATACAGTTGCCCTGTGAGCTCATGCTTAGAGTTCAGAAGCCTCAGAACCCCTAATGCTGTTAAGGTAGACCGAAGCTGCAAGTGTATATATATATATATAAAGAAATAACAGGTAAGTTATACTGTTGCTGTAATTCTTACCCCCCCCCCCAGTGGGTCTGTGTTTTTCTCTGCTCACGCATCCTTCTCACCTTTTTCACCTCTGACCAGTGTGTATGCCTGTATTAAAAACTGTAGTGTAGTTATTAATGACAGTAATTTCTAGAGATGGAAAGATATCCACCCCAAGGTATTTAAATTGAATTTAGTCAAGAATATAATCAGTTCTTGAGAATGATTTATGTCTGTCAGAAAAAAAGTTATATTCTTTGGCTGCTGGATTATAAAATCTCCATATATCCAACAGGCTGAGGTCTGACATACACTGCTGCAAAGCCTTAGAACAGGACAGCTGAAATGGGCTAGCCATTTGGTTCAATTTATCTAATATTGGATTTATTATTGTATTCATATCTGCACCAATAATATAATAATGAATGAATCATTGCCAGAATCGATAATGTTTATATCTAGTGAACGTTCGATTACAATTAAAACACCTCGTTTTTATCATCTTCTGAGGATGAGGAATCATCAACCTCATATTTAGTTACTGAAGCTGTTCAGACTCCTTAGTAAGGTGCGACTCTTTAATTAATCCAATATCAATATTTTTGCTATCTATAAACTCCAAACATGCAGTTCTCTTGGTTACCCTGTTCAAACCCTGCACATTCCCTGTCAAAACAGAAAGACTTGTCATTAGTGTCAAAGGGAAATATAAGACATTTAACAATAGTCAAAAAATTCGAAGTTCTGTCTGCAAAGTTCAGATCTCTCCCTGTAGTGTTTCAGTGAAAGACGCCGATGTCTCACTGACAATGGTCTGAATAATCTCAGCAATGTCTTCAGGTTTCATCCCAGCACTGCCTGAGCGCGACATTGTGCTCAGCAAACAATTAACACGCGGACGGAGTGTTTGCTGAGAGGGGAATCAATCTCAGGATCGGTTGTTAATCATGAAAAAGCAGCAGCCTCTAGTCCCAGCAACTTAAAGTCTATATCCCATCTTCTCGTTTCACTTTTCAAAGCATAGTTGTATATCAAGAATTATTGGCTGTTTGGAAGAGTTGAGGCACTCAGTGGCATGCGGCCATTGTCATCCTACAATCAATTGGAAGAGCAATGTTCCTGTTTTTATTATGAGAGGAACATTGCCCAGGCCTTCAAAGAAGGAATACACAAACTGTCTCTGTATAGAAAATAACACTAATAATAAATTATAATGTATAAATAAATATATCAAATATATAAAACATACAACATTCAAATACTTATGACTATTGATGTATAATCACTAATATAAATAAATTAAAAGGGAAAAGAGAAAAATTATATAAAGAACCTAAAGGAAAATTTTATAAGAAAAATAGAAATTTGGGCGGGGAGGGAGGTAAGGTGGGGGGATGGGGAGGGGTAATCTACGAAAGAGGTCCATTTATGAAAACATTTTGCTGCGGTGCCTTTCACAGAATATATTATCTTTTCCTACTTAATAAAATACATGACATCCTTAAGCCACAGAGAAATAGAGCCTTAAGAGATTTCCATAAAAGTAAAAATACGTCGTCTTGCCAAAAGAAAGGTAAAGGGTCCCGGCTCTTTCTACACATCATGCTTTCACCACAACCACTGTTTAGCTGCCGTGCATGGACATAGTACAAATAAGTAGTTTTGAAAACGAGACTGTAACTGCTGTCAGAGGCACCTCGACTGCTGAACCCAGACAAAACAACCAAGTCAATTTTTCTATCAAACATTTTGAATTTTCAATTTCAAATGTAAGTATTTTTCTGTTAGTGAGCAGTGCAGAAACTCAACATGGTGATTACATTATGTGCATATACAGGCTGGTGGTACAGGTACATCTCCTTTAAATGTCTAATTGAAAGTAATTCATAGATGGGAAGGGTTTAATCCTGTGACCCAAATGAATGGACCTGCAGAATCATTAAACTGAGTATTTTATTTTGAAATTCTACAGCACACTTCAATGTCCATGTGTCAGATTGTGCAGAGCTGGACTGAGGGAAAGCTGAAGGAAGCCTCAAGTAACAATGACGCTAAGAACCAGAATCTCTGATTGGCTGCCATGCTCCCAGACCTGCTCCTCCTCCTGTCAGAGGGCAGGTGAGAGATACGGGCACATGAAAACATGTCATGTTGCGGATGATAGCGACCAACTTTCCTGACCATGACAGACAAAACATGATAACCCTCGTTCCTGAAGCACTTAAGTTTAGTTTCTGACACCAAGGCCACTGGCAGCATAGCTGGAGACAGGAGGAGAGAACCCGGGTGGGCGACTTGATGCAGTGAGTGGAGCAACTGTGGAAACTCAGCTGAGCTCACCTGGGTTTCAGGTAAGGTGTATATGCTCCTCTTATCATACAGTGGTAATTAAACCCCCCAGACCTGACAACAAATCATTTTACCAGTGCTACATGAGCTGTGAATATTGGATACACAAGCTACTACAAATGCAAAATAGACACTATATATCAAGATAACCCAGTTAGCATCACCAGCAAAATAAGTTGTTTACACATCATGAAGTTTAACATTCAAAAGGTCAATAGGAATCGATTGTTCATTTACAAATATAAACTTTTCTATATTTAGTGAAAATAAATATAAAAGAACAAGTCAATAAAAAATAATCCAAGAAGGATGAAGAATGATAGTAGAAAACAGTTGAAACTATGGTTGACTAACGTGTCATTATTTATGACATATCAAATTACATTAATGAAGCCTCTTTGTGGTCAATCTGTGTCATAATCTCTAACATCTAATTTTAATTTTACAATCAGAGAAGATGTTTGTAAAGATAGTAGTGTAACTTCATACATCATCGTAGTACATTTATTTGTTGACTCATTCAATCCCCTTGGCTTTCAGTTCGTCTTGAACTCGGCTCATATAGCCAGGGTCTGGATATCCATAACTGCAAACACAATGACAGAGATTAAGTGACTTCATATGGACAGTTTTATAGTCAGTACTCATACAGTCGAGTCGAGTCTTCTCCTGTGAACCCAGATGAGACTTCGGTACTGGTGATTATATTTAGGACACATGAATACGTTTCTCTTATCATAAATATGTAGATGTTAAAAACTAATCACTGCATGAGGAAATAAAGGAAATATTTTGTGGCAGCAGGATATGAAATGTCACACAGCCTGCTCAGTGCAACAGTATGTTCCTGCAATACTGCAACAATTTCATTTCTAGGACCCTAGATCGTAGATGTTATTTACTACTTATTTGTCTGAGTACTCCAACCAAATACTACTTTCTGTCTTATGGTTGCTAAGAGTTGCATGTTGGGTAGTTTGCGCATTTAACATAATTAGACAATTATCAGATAAAATAAAGGTGGAATCATATGCTATGGCCTTTGCAGTCACTAGATCTTGATCAGATATTGACGTGACCCTTCAATACTCATTATTCATTACTCACAACATTAATGCTGTCATGCCTCGCCTCGGCACTAGGTCATGTTTTAGTTTTTTCTCACTTTTTCAGTTCTGTTTCCTGTTTTATTTTGGTGTCCAACTCTCCTCTCATTTCAGATCCACTTCCTGCCCTTGTGTGTTTCCCGCCTTTGTGATTGTCGGCCCCGCCCCGATTGTGTTGCACCTGTGTCTCATTGTCTCCCCTCCCTGGTGAGTATATGGTCTGTTTGCTTTCTCCCCTCTGTGCCAGCTCGTCTTGTTCCCTTGTGACCGGCCGCGTACCAGCAATTCTTGTGTTTCCCTAGTGAGCGCTTAGTGTTTTTTACCCAGTTCCTGTCTTTGACCCTGCTTTTGCCTACCAATTTTGTACCTTTGCCGTCGTTGATTGAACTCCCATTTACCGAACCTGTTTTGTATTAAAGGACCTGATTTTTGGAAACCTGACAGTGTTTGAGTTGTGCGTTTGGGTCTTTTCCTGGTGTGTCTGAAAACCTGACAAATACAGATTTCCCTGCTGCTATAATTTAGTAGTTTAATGTTGCTAATATAAAATCGGGCAATATTACGTTCCTGCAGCCGCCTATAGAAGGCTGCAGTACAGGACCACGGTTGTATATTATTAATAATAATATATAATTTTATTATTATAAATGTGGTAGATTAGTTGACTACTCTTAATATAGTCATAAGAGTTGTCATACTCGCTCTTTGATTGTTATCCATCTTCTTAACTGAAATGCAGTCTTGTCATCCACTTCCTTAGGTGGCAGTGTTGCTAAAAACTAGGGTCCTACAACTTGTGGTCCTGAAACTGCAGCCTCTGGTTCTGCAGGAACACCCTACTCGCTCAGTGGCTTATCTGACTAATGGTTGGATTACATGAAAGGCACAACAATAGGGTAATGTAATGTTGCCAGATAAAGAGTCCTTACTGTGTTGGTCCTCCGTGTGTGGAGGTTTTGTGGTGAATATCATTCCATGTGACTGTGTTGTTCCTGCCGCTGGTGGTGGACTGACCAACAGTGAAGATGAGCTTCTGATCAAAGGCTCGTCTCAGCAGTTTGACGATCATCCTGCCCTCCGAGGAGTCTGGGAGATAGGCTGTACGGGACACACCTTCATATGGCTGACCAGGGTTAGGATGCGCCTCCTGCAAACACATAGTCAAGCTTTCTCTGCTTTATGATGTTCTGCCAGCTGGAAGTTATGATTCTGGGACCAGAGACTAGACAACAATAGCTTTTTACAAGCTGCAACAGCTGTGTGTGTGTGTGTGTGTGTGTGTCAGCATTTTGTCATTTTAACAACATTTTCTTTGCCGTCAATGAGCTTTTAAAAAATCTCAAATGTGCGCTGACAAAAATCTTTTGTTGCTTCTTTGTTTGAATAAAAAGTTTTAAATGAAGATATATTGGTATCTGATTACAAGCTCAGCAGCTATTTAGAGTAGAATGATCATAATAATTAGCTTGGAATATGGATAGGAGACCCCAGTGTCAAGTTTCAACTTGTAAAATAGATAGTTAGATAATCAGATGTAAACAGATGTATAATTTATTGACCAGTCCTCACAGTCAGTTGTCATCATGTGAACTGAGAGTCATCTTTTACATTTCCCACTCATGATAACGGGGTGGTATGTGGGTGGAGATGGTTATGGAGCCAAAGGAGTGGCATAGAAATAAATAAATCTGTAACCTAGTAAGAAAATAATAATGTGGAAATATAAAGAGAAATAAATAATGGAATAAATAAGTTAATTAAAAGATGTGGAAATATAAAGAGAAATTTCTAAGTGAATAAAGCTGGGCAGGAGAGCTCACCCAAAGTCAGTTGATTGACAGCTTGGTCCTTCAAGGAATAGCAAAAGCAATAGGGTAAAAGCAAAAACATTGGGGAAAAACAAAAGCAAAAGCTAAAAGCAAAGGTAATATGTAAAAGCAAAAACAGTAGGGAAAAGCATTTTTTAATTCTTATATATATTTTTGATTTACTTATTTAATTCCTTTATTTATTCCTCTTTATATTTCCATTATTTTCTCATTCTTTTACAAATTTATTCTTTTTTATGGCACTCCTATGACTTCATAGATGGTAACCTCAAAAATGTGGAAATGTAAATTGTTCAGTGTTGTACCTGTAGCCTTACCTTCTGGATGCCACTTGGAATGTAGTACTGGATGATTATTGTTCCATATTTGTTGTATCCAGGCAGAGATGAAGAGTTTTTGGTGACAGTCATTCTGCCTCCATCTGGCTGTGTCCCTGTCAACGTGCCATATAACCGTCCACAGGTTGGGCACACAGGCTTGTAGTCGAAAGCTCTTTTCAGACAGTCTCTGCAGAAGGAGTGTTTGCACCGCAGCGTCTCCTTTTCTGTTGTGACTATTGTTTCCATACAGATTAGACATGGTTCATCCTCAGGATCTTTGCTGTGTGTAGGTTGAGGACCTGAGGTTCTGCTGCTTGGACTTCTGCTGCTTGCTGCACCTTTGCTGACTGGACTCTTGCTTGGACTTGGTGTATTTTTTAAAAGGAAATCTTTCAATTGAGCAATGTGCATAAAAGGCCCGCTCACTTTTGCTTCATCTTTGATGAAGCTGGGTGTAATGAGGAGTTGTGGAAATCTCCTCTGCAGGTCTTTGTGGCTTTGTGAACTCACAGGGACCAATGTGGACTCCAAGTCAGAGGCTGTTCTCTGGTAGAATGTGATGAATCTCTGTCTGACATAGTCAGCATGAACAGGCCGTACGGAGGTATGCTGTGGTCTAAAAGTCACCTGTACTGTGACACCGGGGTTACTGTGTGCTGTTCTGAGGTCAGGCTGTATTTCAATGACAAAATTGTTCCCTTGAATTTTGTCAAGTTCTTTTGCACATTTTTGCTGAATGTAGCTCATAACTACCGAGGACACGACCACTGATTTCACACTGGCTGGAGCAGGATCTTGCCGAAGGGTTCGTCCGTGTGTGGCAGGACTGAAGTGATGTTTCATTGCTGACAGTTTGTTTGAAAGACGCTCCACTTCCTCATAGCTTCCTCTCACGATGTAGCAGGAACTTTTTCTCTCAGGACTGTAAGGCTGAAGAATCTTTATTAATCTCTCCTTGTCTTTGTAACCGGCTCCATCAATGACGGCAGTGACGTCTGTGATGAACTGCAAAAAGACATGACAGGTAACGTTAGCTATTAGCTACATACTTCCATCTAAATGCAGTGTGAAGGTGATGCAGTAATGTGTTACTGGGCACTGTGTTCATTACAACAGGGCTGAAAGGATTACTCCAGAACAATCACAATTACTCTAGATTCAAATTAAAGTTATAATCTGTAACTCTTTCACATTAAAATGTTGAGTTGTGTTCTTAAATTATCCCAAATATCTCCATCAATTCTAAAACCAGAGAAAACCGTGATTTTAATCATCGTAATGTTACATTTCATTTAGTCATCTGTCAGTGACATCATATCCTCTATGTACATGTGTCAGTGTGTTTGTCTGCCAGAAGCTAAACATGGACTTTTATCTAGTTTTAAGCCACATACACTTTAAACACCTTGGTGGTTTTCAGCTCTATATTTGAACCAGATGAAGGATTTTAGTCGTCGGACGTCTGGATCTGAAGTTGTCACAGAAACAAGCTGAGGAAATGTTAGACAGCTCAGCTCCCAGCTGCTGGAGACGTCCTGATTTTCAAACTGCATTATTCATTCACCAGTTTTAATCCCCTGGTCTGTTTGTTATGGAGAGGAGGATCATTGTGGATAATTCAGCTGCTGGTACAAACCATAGACTGTAAATAAAGATGTCATGTGTCATTTTTGTGTTATACTAACGTAGGTAGATGTTTCATAAGCTGTTGCAGCTGTTTAATCATAAACCAACGTATGCTTTGTGTATTAGCCAAAGCTAACGTTAGACAACATTGGGTGTAAGCAACATCTGCTATGCTAGTAGACAGTGTAGCTAACTTTATGATTACACATAATGTTGTCTTGTATGTAATCTGTGTAGCCCATATGTTTGGCGATGTCTGCACTGTAGTTGTGAGTAGATGTGGCTTGATAGTATTTATCTTATGTCTGTCATGGCTGCGAATGGGACTTTGTGTTTTTTAGTTGTGAGAGACTCCACAACTTCCAAACCTTTAAAACAGGGATTGATGAGACCACCACCCCCGCTCCACCTCCACCACTTCGTCAGTTTGTCTCCCACCGGTGAGTGCAACTTCATGTGATAGAAACGTAGCTTAGCTCTTCAAACCTCAGAAAATCAGGTCGTTGGCGACGCGTTTACAAACGTACAAAGTTTTTAAGAACTTGTTATGAAGGTGTAATTGCTTAGACCACTGTTATTCATATAAATGCATCCTTCTCTATGTGTAGCTCGCTTTACATACTACACGCTTTGTGTAGCATACAAAGAGATTTTAAATGAAACGACTTCATTGTTTATGCTGTAAGAGTAAGGAAAAGGCATGTATCATTTTAAAGATTTTATTCAACAGTCAGAACAGATTGTGCATATAAATAAGAAAGCAAAATAATAAAATACAAATTTAAATATTTACACAAGTAATGTATAAAGAGAAAAAAAATATTACTTGGTATTGTTACATCCTCCTGGGAAAAAGGACAGCAAAATACTTGATGTATAGAGTGATAATGCACAGATTATTGCCTGTCAGTGCTATTGCAGTTTACTCTACTAGGGATGAAACCTTGATACTGTCCATGTGGATCTGGTCCTGGTCACATATTTTTCCAGACACAGCAACTAGGGATAACAACTGTAACCGTGCACTAGTGCTCTGTTGTTGTTACACATCAAACTGTCTGTAAACTGCATAGCTGAACTTCTGGTTGATCTCCCCTGGATCTGGATAATCAGCCACTGTCCAGGTGTCATTCCAGATGTGTCTGGCAATGTGCAGGACCCCCTTCTGCAAAATACAATACCAGTCTGAAGTTTGGACACACTTTCCCGAACTTTTGACTGGTACTGTATATGATTCCATGTGTGGCAGCATGGAAGCACAGGAGTTGTGATGTTGTAGTGTCCTTTACATATCTGTAGACATTTCTGGCTGATGCAGCAGGTAGGATGACCTGTTACCGAAGGTTCTGGTTGAGGAGAATCTGCTGATGTCATTTGTAACATATGAAACATCAGTCTTGGGTCACAGAGCTCAGACAGAGCTCCAGCAGGTGATGCGACTGTTCCAAGTCCAGTACTCGAATTCTGGTCTGTGCAGCAACAGATAACAAACACAATTAGATATTGTTATAGAACAGAACTTTATTGAATTTGTATTAGTGGTGCTGGTCAGAAAAAACAGAAATAATTTGCTACTATAGATACCTGCTCATCTGCACCTGCTCTCCCTTTCCCATGACCTCCTCTGCCTCACCTGAGCCCCCTCACCTGAGCCTGGCCTCTGTAATATGAGGCGAAATTAGAGCTAGCAATGCGCTTATCCTGGAAGCTCTAACATGCAAAACAACATAATATGTGTGATAGTAATAGAAAAAACTTCAGTGTAGCTACGTAGGTGCTACAGTTTTTTCATAGACATGCAACAGAAAATTCAAGATAACAGTTCAAAAGAAACGTTAGCTGTACTAGTAGTATAGCTAACTTAGCATTAGTGGTGTAGCTAACTTTGTTAGTGTTTCTAGCTTTGTCTGATATACAACCTTACGGCAGGGGGCTACTAGCTAGCCAGCGATAAGTTATTGCATTTAACTGTATTTCCAACAATAAATCACCCAGCTTGACAGCTTTGAGTACGAGCAAGTCATTACATTCATTATGGTAATTTTAGATGTTTTCTTACTTGTGAATGAGCCATTCCTTATTGGGATATCACAACGACAATCCCCGCTCCGCTCTCTCTCTCTCTCGTCCACTCGGGCAGTGCGCGTGTGTTTTAGGGGAGTGGCCTTGGAGGGACGCCTCCAGCTTTAATGTGAAACTGCTTCATTCAGTGTTTTTAACAGTGGAATCGCCAAGTCTGTTTGATTTCCTGAACCACTGACACTGAAGGAATCCAAACCAGAAGCTTATGGTAATGTTGGTGAAGACAAGAACTTGCATGATTCCACACGATTTCATGACGTCATCCAACACTGTCTCTTGTTATTGTTTTGAATGAGAGACCCTTAGAGGCAGAAGTTACAGACTGTGTGTTTAAAAAGGGGTCAAACTCTCTGCGTCAAAGATTTGGAACAGGGAATTATATACACGGGGCTGTCCCCCTGTCATTGACTTGATGCATCATTGGAGAAGACCCTTAGCTGACTCACATCTCAAGACATTTTCTTTCTTCACAGTAAACAGAACAATGCAGGGACAGTGTGACAGGCTGTAAACTAGCAGGGGAGCGGAGCTATATGACCAAGACACCAACTTTTACTTTTTCCGACTGTGATGAAATCTGATGTATTCACATGCCAGATGGACTAAGACATTGAAATGATCGTCCTGAGGTAAAACATGGAGCTGCAGCAGCTGATCTAGAAATAAAGACAACTTGAAAGGGGCGAAAGCAAAATGAGGAGATGAGCAGTAGAAATGGAAGCAGTTTAATTTGAAAGTGGCTTGCACCAGTGTTGGAGAGCTGGTCGACACCAAACAGTTCAAATAGAGCCACAAACCCAGCTAATCATCAGAAAAGTAGCCCGATATTTTAAACACATTCAGGAGTTTTTTTTTGGCCCAACATGTATGAAATTTGGTGTTTTATTAAAATAATACATTGCTTGGTTAGAAACACGCCTGCCCCCAGACATTAGTCAGACTGGATTTCATTTTGAGGTGCTTATATGTTTTTAACTCAAAGTGATCATGAAATTGAAAGTGTAAATTTCAACAGGAAATTAACAGTTTGTTCTTAGCATTATTACAGTATGCAAAGAATACATATGAAATATCCAGTCAGAGGTAGCATGGCTAAATAAAAACTTTGTTAATGTTACTCTCACGTTAGACTCAATATCTTACTTTAGAAAAGATGTTTATTCAGAAAGAATACATGAGAAATAAAAGGGATGAGTTGGCTCGGTGGCTGTACGGGACTAATGAAGATAACATGTTGTGCTGTAAACAGCTGGACTGAATGATTACAATAAACTCAATAAAACAAACGACACAGTTATCTCTCAGGTTGGAGGGGTATGAACTGTCTATTAAGAGTGTAGAAAAAAATCCAGCACCATGCTTTCTTTCCCTCAGCATGAAGGTTTACTGTCGACATGGCAACAGGTGCCGGTTTAGTAGCAAATGATCAACACCAATAACCGTCAAAGACCAGCCACTTATACTAGTTTACAACCGTTAATGTAGTGAACGGTACTTGTCGCCCAACTTTTGAAAAAAAAAAGAAAAGAAAAGAAAAAACAACTCAAAGATGACTGTGCTCTTAATTTGAAAAGAGGAAATTACTTCCCCGCGAACGCTCGCGGGATTTTCGGAAGTAGTCCAGCGAAATAGAAAAATGTTTTCACAAATAACAGTTTGAAAGTTGTAAATGTCAGGAAGCTATTCACAAGTGCTTTTCTCATATTTGTAAATACATTCAATGTATTCACCGATATGTTTTTTATTTGTGGAATTTGTTTGAGTTTTTGCAAATCGGTTTTATAATTGAGATCTGTTTTGTGAGTATTTTTTGTATGTCTGGAAGGTGATTTATTTTTTTAAAGATTACACATTTACAAACTGATCGATCTGTTGACACAAATAATAACGAGACTAATCTCATCCCACACATGATGGACAACATCAAAATGTACCAGAGTGACAGTGGAACTCGGGTGTAGGCATTTGAATCGACGCGCTTTTATTTTGAAGGCTAGACGCCCAAAGCGGAAATCTATTTCATAGTTATCTGGCCAACGCAACGCACTTCTTTCTGCGAAAAATCGAACGTTACAGTACTTCACAGTCCTGCTTCAGTGACTGAATCAAGTAGAGAGAGGTCACAACACACGTCTCATCCAGAGAAACACCAGCTGCAGTTTAACAGGTTAACTGGGTAAAAAAAACACCGACTGTAAACTCTACCCGCTCTCACAGCTCTCCTTCCTTCAGCCTGTTCAACTATTGTAAACGTAAATAGATGAAACTCACCTCCATGACGCAGAGTTCTCCTCCACCTGCAGCGATACTTTCCAGCTCCTCAGGACTCACTGAAGACCTTTCTGGTTTCACTTTCAACTTCAGGGTGTCCGGTGTCTTCAGTGTTCATCACGTGTCGTCTAGCGACCCCTTGTGGTAATCAAGGAAACAGCAGCCAACATGGAAAACACTGTAGGCTACATTCCTAACCCACGGTTCTGCACAGTGGTTGAAACTAGCTAATGTACTGAAGAATTTACTTTCCAGGACACTTTATATTTCTGTGTCGTGCTCTACTTCACTACATGAAGCTGACAGCTTCCTGTCTCTGGTTTTGAAAACATGAAGTTAAGGCAATTCAAAGTGCTTTACAGAGGCATGGAAATACATTAAAAATAGAACATTAAGATGATATTAAATTAGCATTTTAAAACGATTAAAAGAAATTTGAATAAATAAAAAGAAATATTCAAACAAATAAGATAGGGTTGGAAACTTAGGACACCCTTTTAAAAGGGGTGCTGTGGTGATAAAAAAAAAAACATTAACAACAAGCAAATGCACAAGGTTAAAAAAGATGACATGTATGTGATTCATTATGGCATGCCATTTCAATCATTATTAATTAAAAAAAACTCAGCTATGAAATAAATCCTGAAATAAATAGATTAGGTAATACATGTAGAAATATATAGATAAAAGTATAATATAAATATATATGAGTAAATAAATAAATATCTATAGAAATAAGTTAATACACCGAAATGTTTTTATTTATTTCAGGGGACTTTTATTTTGTAATTCCACATTTATTTATATCTGGAGACTTTATATTTTCTAATGCCACATTTACTTCCCAGCTCTTTCTATTTCCATTGTTATAGTCAAATCAAGGGTCTCTGAACAACAAGTGCGTCCCAGCCAGATTAATCGCTTTTTCCTTTTCAAGCTATCTTTTACCTTAATTCTGATGGCCAGAGAGAGAGGCAAAGATATGCAGCAAAGGGCCACAGGCTGGATTCGAACCTGAGCCACTGCGGTTATTGTACGCGCTCTACCGGGTTTGTGTATTTGGTTGTGTTTTGACTATTTACAGCACATGTCAAACCCATGAAGATGTTTTCTGAATGTGTTTGTGTTTTTTTATATTTGCAGTGCTTTGATCTCTCAGGGCCACCGTACAGATAGCAAAATGAAACTTCTGGCCCAACATAAGGCTGGGTCCTCGGACCGATTTGCCCACAGTTTGATGTCATTTGGACATTTGGACATAATTCATGCGTTTTTCACAGTACTGCCACAGAAGTATTTATGGGGTTTTTTTTTTTACATGAAAAACAAACTAACTGGCCTTTACTTCAGCGCCAGTCGTGGTCTGTTCTGAATAACGTGTCATCCGTAGGAAGCCTAACGACTCTGCACGGATCTAGTAAAGAAAATAATGCATCATTAACGGTGAAGGTGAAGTTTCCAACAGAGCGTGAAGCAGCTCTTATTGCAGTGTCAGTGTTTCTCCAGCAGAGGTCAGTGGAGCTCCACACACTGATCACAGAACAGTGACGCTGCTGGCCACCGTGTAACAGTCCTGACACACCAGCAGCTGGTTTTTAACCAAACTCAGTCTGTTTTATCACACAGTGTCTTTTTATTAGTCCGACTCTGAGTTGGCAGAGTGTAGCTTCAGAAGAGCCGACTGCCGGTCCTGGTCCTGGTCCTCTCTCCTCCTCCGCACTCTACCACAGGCGACTTCTCATCAGTGGTTTCAAGTGAAGCTGGTCCAGCCGATACAGACCAGACTGATCCCGGTCTCATCACAGTGTGTGCGGTCAGAGGATAGCAGGCTCTCACGGCAGAGGACTGGATCAGGAAATGAAGCTTCAGGACTGTTGTTCTCCTCTCTTGCTGTTTGTAGCCTGCAGGCCTGTTTACTGTTGACTATATGCTGCTGTGTGTCCTGTATGGAGAGCTTGGATTGACATGTGTGAGGTGACATTATTATATATTATAGCAGTCAGTGAAGAGCGGGAAAATCAACAACAATAATAAAAATAATAATAATAATAAAAGAAAATATACCCACATAAATGCAAATAGAACATCCCTGACATTTTTATTCTAGTTTATTGGTTTAATGTTTAATTATTATTATTGTTATTATTATTATTATCATTATTATTATTATTAGTAGTAGTAGTACTATTGTTGTTATTATTATATGTATATTACATATTATAATATAATGTTATATTACAATAGCCTACATAAGAATTTAAAGAGAAAAATAAATGGCAATTTGTTTATTTGCAGTTTGTTGTCAATAATAATAATAATTAATAATAATAATAATAATATAATTAACATTATACTGTTTAAATTTTAAAAATGCTTATTTAATTGAATTTTCCGCAGAGAAAAATGTAGGCTATGACCCGAATTTATGGTCCTTGTGCATCACCCTGTTTCGCGCCCTCAGTCTTTAGATAATATCCAGAGGAGAGCGCCTGAGCAGCACTACAGAGTGTCACGCTGGTGGGATTGACGAGGTTTAGACATCTGTCAAATTCAGCCAATAGAATATACATTAGTAATATTGGAAAAGGCGCAGTGTGAGCGGGGATTAAGTCCAGTTTCTAATCTCATAACAGGAGTCAGATGGACGCAGGACGACGCCTCCAAAGTGTCATGGATAGCAGGAAAAAATATCAGATTGTGACGCAGTTTCAGTTACAGGGAAACTGTTTGTTATTTGATCACATCTGAATTAAAACTTCTTGAATTTGGTGAAGTAGTGTAGTTAATATATGGGTGATACTGTGTCACAGCTTCCTGCCAAACATCATCATCCTCTGATTTCTGGTCATAGGAAAATCAGAACTCCTGTATGTGAATTTTCTCAAACCTGCCACTTACATGAACCCCTCTGAAAAATCAGTCATCAAGCTAGACAAGACTGTCCTCAGGCTACTGTCTACGTCATGAAAAACATTTCATGTTGGAGTTTATTTCTCCACACAGCAGCAGCAGAATCAGCTGTGCTACAAACGGCCCCTCAAATATCTCATAATGATATAATATAATATAATATGATATAATATTATATCATATTATATAATATAATATGATATAATATAATATATAACATCTTAAAATATATGGTTTATAGTTTTTGGGTAAAAATAAATAAGTGACAATTAAACAGAATTTGTCAGTGTTCACAGTCAGAGAATGTTTAAATTATAATTTTTTAATTTACACAAATATAGTTTTACTATTTAAAACAGACGTGAATTTAACTATTGCCACCGTGATTTGGAACAGTTTCTTTTCATGTCAATGCCAATAATTATTGTAATATTAATATTATCCATTTCGCCCACCAAGTACTCTAAAGCAGAGCTCAGCGTGTCAGAGCATCTCTGTCAGTTCTCTGAACACCACCAAATGATATTCTACAATAGTATACAATATTATATAGTATATTATATAATAATACATAGGCCTATTGTTAACAATTATTTTCATATTTACACAATATTTACAATTTGATATGCTATTTTCATCCTCCTCCTTTTACCTCAGGTGGTTGTATTGTCTCTCAGGTTGGGCTCCTGCTGAGTAGAACTTAGTTAAAACCTATTTAACTCATTACATCGCTGCTTATGTTGAAATACATTGCATTCAGAAAGTATTCAGACCCTCCACTTTCTTCACATGGTGTTGTGTTGAAACCTAATGTTAAAATTATTGAAATTCCTTTTTTTTTATTATTAATCTACACTCAATACCTCATAATGACAAAGAGAAAACATAATTTAAGAAATATTTAACAAATTTATCAAAAAGGAAAAACAGATATATCACATTGACATAAATATTCAGACACCTCACTTAGAACTAACTACTAACACATTTAGCAGCAATTACAGCACCGACTCTTCTTGGGCCTAACATGACAAATTCTATACATCTGGATTTGTGGGTTTCCTGTCGTTCTTCTCTGCAGATCCTCTCAGACTCTCACAGGTTGATAGGGACGTCGGTGGACAGACATGCTCAGCTCTCTCCAAATGTTGGATTGGATTGAAGTCAGGGCTCTGGGACTGGGCCACTCAAGGACATTCACAGAGTTGTCCCTGAGACACTCCTGTGTTGTGCTGAGGGTCATTGTCCTGTTGGAAGGGGTCTGAATACTCTCTGAATGCACTGCATATATGTCATTTACAATTTGCTGTGTGTTTTTTGTTTTCTTTTGTCTTGTAGTTTGACCATGTTGTAGTTGTCATTAGTGTATTGTCATTGGAGCGTCCTAAATTTTGATCAAGTCATTGTTTCCCTCAAGATAATCAAAGCTCAGATGATATTAATGTGTAACAGAGAATTCATAAACAACTTAAACTGGTGAATTAAGTGAATTAAATGTAATTATTATGCAATTGTTAAAAAAATGCATGACTTTTTTTTGGCCATGGCATAACAACCATAACACATTACAAAATGGCCACATATGGAAAATAATGGGTCTGCTAAAGGAGATGCCACAACATATATCACTGTTATTTGCTTAAATTGTGACAGAGCTCCACTCATATTAAAATGTATAACCTTAGTGACACTGCACATAATCCAGTTATTTTCAACAACATTTTATTATCCTATGATGTGTTTCTCTTACCGTAAAGGGACATACCTACCGCTAACCTTTCATTTTGTTTACCATGGCAGTGCCTGCAGATATAACAGCGTCTAATGGACCAAATATTTCTGGTGTTTTTGTCGTATAACAAGTCTTCAACTGTCAAAAATGCACAACTTTTATGCAGTGAAACTCAACTACAGCTCTCAGGACCCTCTGATGGCAGAGTAAGAACGAAGGACAATTCAGTGCGAAGCTTCAGTACAGCAGATCTTTCTGCTGTGGTCAGTATGGGATGCCACTGCCATACACGTATATACGTCAGAAGCACTTCCATATGACGGTGAGATCACGTAGCAATCCTTGAGTTGATGCCTACGACAGGAGTAAGGCAATACAGTTGCATGTTTTATGGAGCCAAAACTGAGGACGGAGAGGAACTGACTCAGAAGA